TTTATTTAGCAGTTCCATCTCTATTCCGCCTTTCCTCCGTGGACTGAAGGTAGTATACACTGATCAGCCACAGCATTAAAAGCACTGACAGGTGAAATGAATAACATTGATTATATCATTACAGTGGCAGCTGTCAAGAGAGGGTGATATATTAGAATGCAAGTGAACAGTCAGTTCTTGAACTTCATGTTTTGGAAGCAGAATATATGGGCAAGAGAAAAGATCTGAGTGACTTTGACAAAGGCAAAATGGACGACTGGTTCAGGGCATCTCCAAAATGACAAGTCTTGTGGGGTGTTCGCAATATGCAGTGATTAGTACCTATAAAAAGTGGAGCAAGAAAGGATAACTGGTGAACTGGCACCAGGGTTGTGGGTTCCCAAGTCTCATTGATGCATGTGGGGAGCAAAGGCTAGATTGACTGACCCAGTCACACAGAAGAGCTACTACAGTTCAATTTGCTGAAAAACTGAATGCTAGCCATGATAGAAAGGTGTCAAAACACACAGTGCATTGCAGTTTGCTGCATATGGGACTGCATAGCTGTAAACAGTCAAAGTGTCAATGATGACCCCTATCCACCACCGAAAGTGCCTATAATGGGGTCATGAGCGTCAGAACTGGACCATGGAGCAATGGAAGAAGGTTGCCTGGTCTGACAAATCACATTTTCTTTTGGATCAGGTGGGTGGCCGGTCCATGCATGTCATTTACCTGGGGAAGAGATGGCAGCAAGGATGCACTATTGGGAAGAAGGGAGGCTGGCAGCGTTAGTGTTATGCTGTGAGTAATGTTCTGCTGGAAAACCTTGGGTCTTGTCATTCATCTGGATCTTACTTTGACATGTACCACCTAACTAGAGATTGTTGCAGACCACATATGATATTAGGCAGGTGTTTTTAATGCTGTGGTTGATCAGTGTGTGTTTGTGTGTATTTATATAAATATCAGTCTTCTTTTTCCTGCTTTATCATTACAACAATCTTGTAAGGTAGTCAGGCCAAGAAAAAGTAATTGACCCAGTTTTATGGACCGGCAGGACAATAACATGGTCTTCTCAAGTTAAACACCTTAACCACTATAAAATACAGTAATTTCAGACTGCTCTCTTCATTCTTTTATGATAGTACAGTGCTGCATATTGCAGTCACTTCATATTATGGAAGCTCACCTGTTCGTTTTAATGAATCGGGCCTCAAATCTTGTCCCTAAATCCTGCCCCCCTAGTACCACTGGTAGTTTAAAAACTGATTTTATAATTTTTATATTGTGAATATGAATCTCCCTAGGATCCATTGACTAAGAGCTAGCATGGGTTTGTCTGACAACGTCTACTTTCCTATTCCAGCAGACCTCGGGCAGGTTTTATTCTTGTTTACTAACTGGTTTCTTATTTTTCCCCCCATGTTCCCTATTTATACATACTGCATGGCTTACATACCAAGAGGCCCTTACTCGACTTTTTAAACGCCCAACAAGGAGAATATAAATTATTTTATTTATAGGACAACTCAATCAGCAGACGAAACATTGACGAGAGCGGAGACTGGGATTCAAGCGCCTTACCACGATTACCTCAGGATGCGCCCTTGGACTTTACCTCAACGCCCGCCTCTCCCTTCCGAGGGTTTCGCCCGGAAATGGCTATATATGGCAACCTGGAGGCGCAGGTAAGTCTCGGTCGCCACCGTCGCGGCTCAGTCCCGCCTCGCCGGCCGCTCCCGGTTTCGCTCGCCCAGCCCTGCCAGGTATAAGCGCTGGGCGGCCGAGAGGCGCGCCATTTGTTCTCCGCCTGAGGAAGCCGGAGCCGGAGCCTGGGCAGGTGCGGAGGGAGAGGGCCGAAGGGGGGGGGCCCCGGTGTAATCCGAGAAGGAGGGCGCGGCCACCTGCGAGAGGGGGGTTTACCTGCGGAACCGGTTGAGCCGCTGTGCAGAAGAGGAGGAGGAAAGGGCGCCGCGGAGACGTGAGGGAGAGAGATACCTCGACGGAGCGCCTCTTCGTTTTCGCTAACCCACCTGCCTTTGCTTACCTGCTGCTTCCACTCTCCCGCCATGGAGCTACCCCGTGGAGCTGCCTTGCTACTGACGGCGCTGGTGGTGCTCGCCGCTCTAGTGTACTCCCAAGGTACGTAGGCCTGAGGGGGGAAGACTTTTTTTGTTGCCGCCCTTTTTTCTTCTCTCTCTCTTCCCCCCCCCAGCCTCTTTTCCGTGTGTGTCGCCTTTGAGGGGCTTCGGGGCCTCGAGAGCCCACTTCGAAGGGAGGCCCGACGGTGGCCCTTCGCCACAAAATGGCGCCGCCCTCGGGGCTGGAAGGCGCTCGGGCTGAGGAAGGGTATGGACGGGGTTGCATTTCACGCGGGCTGAGGTGTTGTGCCCCAAGTTTAGGGCTGGTTTGCCTTCAAAGTCCGGGGCAGGGTCGGGGAAATGGTGGTGGGAGTCTTGGCTCGTCGAGGTTCCTGTTCGCGTGAGGCCTGGTAGAGGCGACGCCCTGAAGAGCCGAGCGAGTCCCCCTCGAGGTGTGTGGGGAGAGGCAAACAAACCAACACCCATCCGTGGAAGCCATTGCCTTTCCTCCTCGTATAATATGCGATTTCCGCCAGCATTTCGCCACCCAGGACTAAAAACCTTTAGCCCTCAAATAAACTTTTCCAGCTTCTCCTCAACATTTAAAATTAGGACTTGTACAAAGCTAAGGTGCCAACAGCTTGTTTTAGTCCTGGCCGCAGGTGGACAAAGAGGGAACACCTGCTTGTCCTAGGCCCTACGTGCAATTTGGGTGTGTTCAGACATTATATGCCAAGATTTATGATTTTTTTTTCAAGTGGCTGAGAACCTAGGACTAAGAGCAATATAGGCTGGCAAAACCTTTTTTTTTTTTTTTTTGACCGCTAGCATATTATACAGGATTGAACACAAGAACCTTTATCATAGGAGTCCTGCAAAGCAAAATGAAATCTGATAAGATCAGCGATTCAAGGGCTGTCTTCTCTATCCCTTACTGTATGGTGTTCACTCAGGAGACAACTGGAATGTATTATGTATATTGTAAATAAAGAAACAAGCTAGCTGGATAACGTGTTGTGAGTTCAGTTCCCCACTGTGTCTCTTAGGAAAAGAGGTACCCTAAGTAGGTACTGTACTGTAGTCTTAGGGAGGAAGGAAAACTGTTTGATTCAGTGTTTCTTTCACTACCACCTTATGTCAGATAAGCTAAAGAGAAGAAGAGACCTTTTATCCTGGGCTGCTGGTGGGACCAAAACCTACTGTGGTGTAGAGCAGGGGTCCCCAACCTTTTTCACCCTGCAGACTGGCTGGGGAAGGGGGGCACCCCCTGCGCTCGTGCACATGCACAAACGGCGGGGAGGCAGGGTGGTGCTCGAACGGATGCGCTGGAGCGCGCATATGCGTGAGTCAGCTGTGCTGGGTGGGTGGTGGGGCGGGAGGTCTGTCTCTGCGGCCCAGTCCGGGGGTTGGGGACCTCTGGTCTAGAAACAAAGAGTTTGGACATCCTCTTTTCTCTCTTCCCCAGCAAGAGAGAGCTGGGGAATAGAGAATACCTTTAGTCAAAAGGCTAAACTTTTCCTTTGCTGAAGGTTTGCCCAGTTAAGCTGAGGTTGCCCATCTGTGTGATAAAAAGCATGCCACTGAAGAAGATTATTCGCCATTAATTTTTTTCTGTCTTCAGAAAAATCAGGCTTGTCCCAGAGGCCTCTCCCTTTGAAAAGAGAAGCTTGCTTCATAGGCTCTCTTAAATGCCTCCAGGGTTTGATCCCATTTCCTGGTGGGCGGGTGACTCAGTAATGCTGTGGAGAGATGCGCTCAGCTATTTCCTTGCAGCCATAGTGGTAGGTGTACCTGACAGCAGCTTGGATCTGTGCTTGATGAACAGTGTATCTGTTGTGAAAATGGCCAGGGACTTAACCTGTGTGCTGCAATTCTTGGTGAAATAGGAGTGCTTCTGAGTGAATTTCATGTGCCTTTTACCAGAATTGGCTCTTACTAATTTTTAAATCAAAGTATGAAAAATGAAAACCATGCTTGCTGTGGCCTCAGTTTTCCTTCCTTAAGAAAGCTGTTTTTTTTTAAACTGTGTATTTTTGATATTACAGTGTTTTAAAACATGAATGCTAGGTTGATAGATTAGCATATATGTTTGACTAAAACTGCTAATTGGCTAAGATCGTCATCATCAAGTGGCAGCTCTGATTGATGCATTTTGATTTATGGTTCCAGTTAGCATTTTCTTCCATTCAGTACATAATTTTTCTCAAACTTTTGAGAGGAAACCATGATGTGAAGTGGTAGCTGTAGTAAGTCTACTTGTTTGTCTGGTTTTTGTCTGTTGTGGACAGACATAATCTAAAAAGAGGAACTGCCATTCTTTCACAAATAAACACTGCTTAAAAGATATGCCTAAAACCTGAAATTGAGTGAAGATAGCCTGATTATTTGAGTTGTTTTCCTTCTGTACTCGTACTGTGGCGAAAAAGGTTTCTTGGATTTCAGAAGACTCTTTACACTAATGTTCACATGAACTCAATATGCAGGGGAGATCTTAGCAAGGAGGTGGCAATTGTTCCCATAACTCTGAAGTCCCCTTCTATTTGGGGCCTCATCAACTAGTGGGGCCACTGATTAGGCCTCATCTTGAACACTGGACACCATGCTTTAAGAAGGATGCCAATAAAATGGAACAAATTTAGAGAAGGGCAGATGATCAAGGAACTGGAAGTCAAATCCTATAAGGAAAGACTGAAAGAACTGGGCAGGTTTAGCCTTGAGAAAAGAAAATTGAGGGGAGATATGATAAAACTCTTCAAATACTTGAAAGATAGTCATACAAAGGAGGGACAGCTGTTCTCCATCATCCCAGAGTGCAAGACACATAATAATGGGCTCAGATTACAGAAAGCCAGATTTCAGATGAATATCAGGAAAACTTCCTAACAAAGCAGTACAACCGTGGAACCAGTTATCCTTTGGAGATGATGAGCGCTTAAATGCTGGAGGCATTCAAGAGAAAATTGGACAACTAACTTTCAAATGTACTTTGATTTTGATTCTTGTATTGCGAAGGGAGTTTGATTCAATGGCCTTATAGGCCCCTTCTGACACAATTACTCAATGATTCTATGAAGTTAATAGTGCAGGAGAAAGTGTTGCAAGGGTTTGTACATGCTTGATGTGTAAATTGCATGACGTTCCAAGATAACAACCATCTTTGCTTGTTAGAAGATAGACAAACATAAGAGATGCCCCCTCTGCTATGAAACATATGTTTTGATTTTTAAGTCTTTTTCTAAAGGAGGATGATTAGCCCCAACCCCTGTAAAATATTCTAGGTGTGTCATTAAAGGCTAGGATGTTAAGACTACTCCACCATCATACTTCATGAGGTACTGTATATGATCCAAGGATGTGTCATAGTACTTCTAGGGCCAAAAGCCTGAGCCCAGGTTTCAGCAGTGGCCAGGAGTACATATGCATTTAAAACTAGTGGGCCAACTGCACCTAATCCTGGAAGGGTGTGATTGGCCATGTTGACACATACCTTGGTTACATCCGGCTGGATTACTGTAATGCAATCTGTGTGGGTTTGCCTTTGGAAAGTGCTCAAAAACATCAACAGGTGCAAAACACTACAACCAGATTGTTAATTGGGACTGGTTACAGGGATCACATAGCCTTCCTGTTACAGCAGCTTCAATGGCTGCCGATCCAGTTCCAGTAACAATTTAATGTGTTAGTTTTAACCTATAATTAAATACTATGTTTTAATGGTGTGGTGCAAGCTGCCTTGGGTCCTTTTTATGGAGAAACATAAATAAATAAGTAAATAAGAGTATGAGAGATTATGAGGTCACAGTGATCCAGATAAGGAAGCAGTGCTTTCAGGAATGGTCTGTTTGCAATATACATTATGATGAATTGAAGTTCTGCTGTATAACCAGGCAAAAACAGAAACATATAAATAGAGGTGTGTTGTCAAACAAAGGCTGTGAGAGTATTTCACAGTAGATTTCTTTAACATGGCTTTAATACAAAAAAAACAGTAGAGCATCTCCAGACACTGAGGTGGCTTAATATGAGTAATGGTTAGGATTGCTAGTTGTCCATATCTTCTCATGAAGAATATAAGTACAGTACAAGTGTGCCTTGGTAATCTCAGTTCCAAATACTGTAGATATGACCGGTATTAAGGGGGATCAGTTGCTATAATTCAAGATTAAGTATGCAACTGAAGTACCATCCTAAAGTGTGGACTGATCGTGTCTGCCTGCATAAAATGATTTTCAGATTATTCCCTGGGTGCATAACTGAAAGTGATGCATTAATATAAAAATGTTATGTCATTCATAATTGCAAAAATGTAATTATCAAAGGAGAAACCTTCTTTTAGCTGCAGCTCAAAGATGTGAACATTTTGGTAATATAATTATAATAATCATAAACCAGGTGCATTTCAAATTGTGATTTAAATAACTGTAAATCAGTGCTTTGACTATCTAATTGTTTGATTCTCTCACCAAAATACATTGCTATTTGCTGCTATATATTTCACAATTTCATTGCCCAGATGTACTCCATGTCAAGTTATCCTCTAAGTCAGTGGTCCCCAACCTTTTTAGACCCTTGGACCGGCTGGGGAAGACGGGACACCCCCCTGCGCTCATGCGCATGCACAAAGGCGCATGTGCGCATGCAGGAAGGGTGGCGCTCAGACAGGCAGGGACTTGTGCACATGCACAAATGGTGGCATGTGTGCGGGTGTGCATGCTTGTGTGCATGCACAAATGGTGGCGCTCGTGTATGCGTGCTCGCACGCAGGCCCAAACAGGCTGTGGGGGGGAGTGTGGGGGTGGGTGGGGGGAGGTCTTTCTCCGCAGTCCGGTTGGGCTCAGGCCATGGACCAGTGGTTGGGGACCTCTGCTCTAAGTGACACTTCTAGAATACAGTAAGTGTATTTTTAGAGTGAAAATTAAGAGTTGGTGTTGTTTACAGAGCTGCACACAGACTGTAGCTAGAGTTGCCATTCTAATGAGATTAGTATCTCTCAAGGAAGATATTGAAAACAATCTTGGAGATTTTAGTAGAATGTCTAATAATTTTCAACATATCAGGTCAAGACGAAAAAAAGTCCAGGATTAAGTTCAATCATAGTTGATAAAGAGGATGATCAAGTCTACTATTTCTTATCTTAATATATTGCTTTTAAATAAGCAAAACCAGTTTGAGAAGCACTAGTTTTTCTAATAGCATCTACTAAATTTAATAGGTACCATGTATAGTAAAGAACCGTCTTCCAATACGGATTAAGTTCTCAAGTCAAGACCCCACTGTACCATGTATAGTAAAGAGTGACACACTAGAACTCTGGAGACCAGGATTTAAATCCCCACTTGTCAGTGGAAATTCACTTGGGAAGTGGAACTGGTAAAACAACTTCTTAAATCTCTCAGTCACTTTGAAATCCCTATTAAGGTAGCTATAAATTAGTTTTGACTTAACAACACATAACGAACTAGACTATCAAGGGAGAAAGAAAGATTAATTTAAATAATCTATATAGGAGCCTATGGAAGCCATAAAATTGGTTCTAAAATTGGTACGGAACCTTAAACATTAAAAGGGGTTGAAATCATATAGGACATTTTTAATGATACAAAGTATTTCAGCAGTACACATTAAAGAACCGATTTAAATAAACCAGATACTGTATTTAAAGTTCTTTAGAATTGTTAATTGATTCATAAGGGAATTGTTTCTGATTTCTTGGATGATTTGAAAACTTTTTTAGAATTGATCCTGACTGATGGGCTTGAATGTTACAGATACTTGTACTTGTGACAAGAATAGATGGATAATGGATTGTGTTCCATATGGCAACACTTGTCAATGCAAATCTTACGGATCAGATGCCACAGTGAACTGTTCAACATGTAAGTACAAAATCATAAGAATGCCTCAATAGATTGCTTCAGGTTTTAAATATTAGGTGGAAATGTTTTGCTGGTTTGTAGCAAAAATTAGCTTGACATAGAAATAATGTAGTAACTTTGAAGATGATTCTTTCTTATTTTTAGTGACATCGAAATGCGTGCTGATGAAAGCTGAGATGACTAGAAGGAGTGGTAGAAGCTGGAAAAAACCAGAAACTGCATATGTAGATAACGATGGCATTTATAACCCAGAATGTGATAGGGATGGTAATTTCAAAGCTAAACAGTGCAATGGGACAAGCACTTGCTGGTGTGTGAACAGTGCTGGAGTACGAAGAACTGAAAAGGGTGATGAAAACCTTATGTGCAGTGAAGTAGTAAGAACAAGGTAAGTAATATGAAACTTCATGTCTTTTCAAATAGCATTTTTCTGTGCACTGTTTTACTAAATGAAGCAGGAAAAGAGTAAGACCAACTATGAGATAAAATACTCAATAAAGGAAGCTTTTGTCATATCTCACTGGGAAGAACTCTTCATGATCTCCCTTGCAAGCCAAACTAAAGGCAGATCTACAGGGTAAATCACAGAAACCTATATTTTGTTTAGAGCTGACAAATCTTTCCTAGTTTGTCATAGCTGACACTCTATAAATTTTTTTAGCAGATGTTACAATTTTTTGTGTATATTTGTATGTTGTTATTTATGTATCTGGAAGCTTTCTACAGTGGTCACATGACCAGATGGGCGGGGTATAAATAAAATAAATAAATAAATTATCCTAGTGAAGGGTTAATACCATAATGAATCAGACAATCAGTGTGTTTTCTTTGTTGCAATAGTTCCAGCAACTTTAAACTTGTATTTTTCCAATGTTTATTTATCTCCAATGCTTCTAAGTTCCATAAGCATAATATGAAATCCAAAAGTATTAAAAACATGGAACTTTCAGAAGTCACAGGTGTGTTGCTTTGAAATAAATTTTTATAGCCGTGAACAACAAATTAACAAAGCTGTTGGTACAATTGCTTAAATACATGAAAGTAGAACTTGAGCTATGAGTATATGCTTAATTACAAAATTAAGTTCAAAAGCACAAAAAAATACTAAAAGGAAAGTTTTACATTGTAAAATACAGGAGCATATCGCCCAAAAGAGCAGAGAATGCATCTAGAATATATCACTTTAAAAACTAAAACATTATAAACTTCAAAAGTTGTAAATGCCATCTTATAAATGCATGAAGAAATATCAAAGTTCACATAAGGAGAATATATAAAATAAAAAGCATTATTTAGCTCTAAACATAGCAAGACACATATAAAATCAATACATAATATTTTCGAAAGTTATGCAGTATTGTCAGAATTTATTATTTTCATATGTCTTATGTAAGGATCAGAAAGCAAAATGGAATAGGAAATTGCCAAAAACTGCTTTCTTTCAATGACCTTGATGGTACTGTAGCCAATTCATTGTTTTTAGAACACTTGTGGTAAATAATATCTAATATTTTACTCTTAAGAAATTTATCCATCAGGAATGGTCAGACGAGACGGATAATGAAACAGCAAAATGGCTTCAATGAAAACATCAACTACATAAGATGTATCAACATAACAAATCTCTCTCTGCACACACACACGTCTATATAATCTATATGCATGTGTGTAGTGTGTGTGGTGAGAGTACTATTTTAAAGCTTGGAATAATGAAAAAATTGTTAGACTGTTTTTAAGACTAATATTTTGTGACTTTGTTTTTCAGCTGGATTATTCTGCAAATGAAACATGCTGAAAGAGATGCTCCTTTTAATAAAGTCAACTTGGAAAGGTATAACATCCTTATGATTGATTGTATAAGTTTTGCAGTCTCATTTCCAAGATAGACTGATGAAGTGGGCTGCAGTCCTCTAAAAGTTTATGCGAATTGAAATTGATTAGTGTTTTCTATACTACAAGACTCTCTTTTCATGCTTTATGGAAACTTGTGCAGTTTCAGTTAACATTCCTCAAATTTGGATGGGACAGCTGATTAAATTAGCTCAGGTCCTATCACTGCTGCCAACTGTAGGAAAATTTATAAATACAATTTCAGGTTTGGGAGCTTATGTCACAGAACCAATTGGTTTGATTATTTTTTTAGCAGTTCAGTAAAAGATACAAAAGATGAGGGATGTGGTGCTGCTGCGAGATAAATTGCAGAAGCTTCTATGCTGCAAGCTCAGAAGACCAGCAGTCGTGTAAGATCAAATCCACGGAGGAAGCTCCCATCGCTTGTCCCAGCTCCTGCCAACCTAGCAGTTTGAAAGCATGCAAATGCGAGTAGATAAATAGGTACCACAACAGTGGGAAGATAACAGCATTCCATGTCTAGTTGTGCTGGTCACGTAACCATGGAAACTGTCTACAGACAAACGCTGGCTCTTTGGCTTGGAAACAGGGATGAGCACTGCCCCCTAGTCAGACACAACTGGACTAAATGTCAAGGGGAACTTTTACCTAAAATATACTACCCACTCTTACATTTATGGAACCAGTTAAAGTTATTTAAAAAGACATGTGTCCTTTAGTTTACATAAAGGTACAGAACATAGTGATTGAAGGTAACTTGTGTTTCAGTACTGAACCACTTGATAAAATGTTAACATAATTTTGTGTTTATCTTATTTATATCTTTTAATTTTCAGGGCAATCAAAAATGCATTCTTCAAGCGTTACAGTTTGAATGAGAACCACATATTTGTTACGGTATGATTAGCAATTCTTGTGGTTTCTGATGGCTGTTGTGTATTTTTATAGTCAATTTCATGATAATTACGGTACTCTTTTTTTAAAGATTGTTCTGAACACTGGCATTTAACTTTTTCAGGTGTGAAATCCAGAGAAGGAATATGGTTTAAATATTTAATGTTATGATATCAAGATCCACTTATTAAAAATACTGTAATTTATACCAGTTTAATTGAATACCAATTTAGCCTATGAAAAAATACAGCTGAAATAAAAACAGTCTAATGTAACAATTGAGCCCACAAAATGTCCAGCTAGATTTCAGGAAACTTAGCTTCAAATCCCGATTTGGCCCCGGGGACTGGCAATGGTAAATCACTCTTTGGACATATCACCTATCTTGGAAAGCCTGTTAAGGGTACCATAATTTGAAAGTCACTTAACAACAGAAAACAACAATGAAATAATCAATTACTGAAAACCAGTTTAAAGAAAGTTCAGGGTACAACCATGTAAGTTTGCCAAGGAAGGCTATTCTAAATTTCTTGGACTATTACTTGTAGATTCTAATCAAACTTCCACATGTAATAGAATACCCCAAACAGAGTTCACTCTGGTGTTTTGACTTCATTTGCGAAATGAAAGTTTGGCACCTGAACTCAGCCACTAGTACAGTACCCAGAGCCAAGACCGAAAAGGCAAAGCCAACGTCTAATAAAATTCTGTGTCTATGATGATTAGCACCTTGACCCTATTGGTATTTTGGGAACTGGGAACTGTATTCCAAAAGATAAGTTTTCCCATCTTTAATGTTATCAGATTGCTTTGATAGCTAAATTAATGTTTTATTGTATTTTAACAAAATTACTAAAATATATAAATTGTTGGTACCAAATTTTAAAGTATTCCAGGTAAACTCATTAAGTTTTCTAAAATCATAAAAAAGTAAACCAGAATTTCATGACATTATGTGATGTTAATTAATCTTGTTCTTCCAGTACGAAAACCCAGCCATTATTATTGATCTGAAACAAAATGCTACAGAGAAGTCTGATACAGATGTGGATATAGCTGATGTAGCGTACTACTTTGAAAAAGATGTAAGTATGCTAGTCTTTAGAACAAGTTGGAATGGAATGGCTCATTTAAATTCAGTGCTACATTTCAGTATTTTTTTTTAATTGGGCGTACATCTGTAGAAAAGTAATTGATTTGTGTTTTTGCTGTTTTAGGTCAAAGAGGACCCCCTGATTGTAAAAGACAAGCTTGACATTAATATTGGAAGTGAACCTCTTCAGCTTAGAGATCCTATAATCTACTATGTTGATGAGAAAGCACCAGAGTTCTCAATGAAACATTTGACTGCTGGAGTTATTGCTGTCATTGTGGTTGTAGTCCTGGCAATAGTTGCTGGTATTCTTGTACTGGTATGTTTTTCTCTGTTTACTTACATTATTAATTCAATTCTCCAAGTGAAGAATACCCAATTTCCAGGGCAAATGATATTTAAAATAAAATAAGTTGGCAACAGTAGTAACATCAAAACAGTACAAGAGAAATGTTCCAGTACATACAGTAAAACTAGGTATACAGGTGGGTTCTGCATGGATATTAGGGTCACTGCCAGGTGATCCTTTTCATAAGGCATAAGTATTGGACCTTCAGGCTAACTATAAGCTGAATTAAGTTAATGGAATGATACGTTCTGTGTCTGTTCAATCTTAAATGACTTGTTTACTCAGGCAGCTGTGTCAGTTTGTTGGTGGTCATATTTATGACCCAGTGTTTCAGAACTAGATATTGCTGTGATAGAAGTTGCATTGGAAGGTGGATGTCAAGGCCAGGTTTTTTACTTTGGCCCAAAATACGGCAAGAACATAGGATGCTTCTTTATCACATGATTTATTTAATAAGTTCAGTACACAACTGGACCGTGGCGCAGTGGTTAAAACGCTGTACTGCAGCTAAAACTGTGCTCATGACCTGGGGTTCAAATCCCAGGTAGCCAGCTCAAGGTTGACCCAGCCTTCCATCCTTCCGAGGTCGGTAAAATGAGTACCCAGCTTGCTGGGGGGGGGCAATGTGTAGCCTGTATAATTAAAAAATTGTAAACCGCCCGGAGAGTGCTTGTAGCGCTGTATATAAGTCCAATAAATAAATAAATAATAAATAAATAGTGCTACACAAACAGGCAGCAGCTCTTGGTCTTTTCCTAGTCCTCCCTGGTGAGGCCAGGCTTAAATGTAGCATCTTCTGCACGTGAAGGACATGCTTCTCTGCTGAACTACACACCATCCAGCAATGATCTGCCTTGTTATGACTCAAGGAATTAATGACTCAGTGCTCTTGTGCCTCTTTATTGTTGTGTGGCAAATGTGGAGCTGTTTGCAAGAGGGTTTACCACCAACCAATTTTAGTGAATGGCACAGAGTAGTCATTGTAGTGTATTGATGTCATTTGTGGAATCTCGAATTGTCTGAAGGTTTGAAAACACCTGGTCTGATGTGTTGTTTTTTTACTGCAGATCTTTACCAGAAGAAAGAGGGGCAAATACGAAAAAGCTGAGGTAAGTATTCTTTTTTAATTGTCCCTTAAAGTAGCACTTAAATAAAGGTTTTATAAAGGCTTGTTAACAGTTAATAACAGAATTAAACAACTTGGATAGAATCATTAATGCTTCTCAAGATCTGCAGCATCCAGCGCTTACAGGCTACATAATGTGCTCTTGGAAGGTTCATGGGTAATGTTTGTAACAAATATGGCCAATGTGTTTGAGAGGAGTATCATGTTTTGACATCATAGCTGCTTGCAGACTAACACATATCCTTCATTCCAAAAGTACTGCTTTGTTTTTGTTTGTTTTCTGTGGATCCTAAGACCTGGACTACAAGGTAGTCTACAGAATAGCTTTTTCAACTGTAGAATTTTTTAAAAGGTTACAGCTATGAGTATGTAGTATCTTCATGTGTCAGTTAAGAGAAGAATGAAATGCTGAATAAAACTTACTTGTAACTTTGCAAGGGCTTTACAACTGTGGGCAGTCTCAAAACTGGATATACTGTTATAAAATAAATCATTGTGGAGAAAGGATTTTCTATCATAACAGGATTCCAGGCAGAGTTCTTCTGGAGTATCTGACAAAAATCTAGTTTCCTAACCATAACCTCAGTGTAAAGCAGAATGAACCTCTGCTGTAAATACAACCAAACATGCTAGTAAATTTGACAGTCCAGATAAACTGGTGTCATGTTCTTAATTAAATGCATATGGCAAATTGCTAAATTGAGATAGGGCTTTCAGAGAAAAAGAATTGCTGTGTTACAGTGGGGTAGCCCCCCCCCCCGGCAAACTATGTCAGAACTCATTCTTCTTCATGGTCTCTGAATGCACACTAATGGGCTTTATCTGTGCCTACGCAGAGGTTTCCGGAATCTTCTAGAGCTTAACACTATTCACTAGGACCGCCCCCCCCCAGTACACTTGGTCTGCCCATTCTGGCAGATGCCTCAGTTCCTTTTTGCTGCCACTGAGCTTTCTTCTCTTCAATGAGGTCCGTTCGCTATTGCATTCAAAAGGAATTTGTGAGAGACTTTGTGCTTTTTTCTCCTCTTCACTGCCCCCCCTTCCTGTTTGCACTCTTCTTATCCCTTTTTCATAGTTTATGGCATCTTCTGTGCCTTTCAAAAGGTGCACTTCATGCCTCACTAAAATTCTTCTGATTGACGGTCACGACTCTTGTCTCTTCTGCCTCAGTGAAGCCCATCAGCCAGCTTCTTGCACTATTTGCAAGATGTTTACTAAACAGGCTTTTAAATTAAGACAGCAGCATCTCTATTCTTGTGGGAACATTCTCTTCATCCTTCACTGAATATGGAATCCATACAGCTGCCACCACCTCCATTACTGTCTCCGGACGTTTCTGTGGCCTCCTCAGAAAAGTTCATATCCAAGGCTAAACTGCCTGCTAAAACTAAGGACCTACCCTTTGATGGGGTCAGCCTCTTCAATACCAAGACTAATGAAATTCTTGACAACCTGCAGAAAATGAGAAAAACTGCAAGATCTCTTAATACACAATTCTACTACAAACCACAACGCTATCAATGGTGTCGACCATATCCCTACCAACAATACAAACCATTTGTTGACAGAGATACTTACCTCAGTCTGCCTCATCCTTCCAGCCTTGCCAGAACAATCTGCGCCAACGTCCACGTCAGTCCTTTCGTAGACCTGACAAGAAACCAAAGCAAAAATTTTGACTCTTATCCAGGGCAGTTCTCTATTCTTCATTCCCCTCATACTTATTTGACTCGCCTAGCACCTCATTTCACATTGTGGGTGACCATCACCAGAGACAAATGGGTACTCACCGTCATTGCCACAGGTTATGCCATAGAATTTGCCACCCTCCCGCCATCAAGAACTGTTCTTACCGCACCGCCTCACATCCTGGATCTGGAAGTCCAATCCCTCCTTTCAGGAGATGCTATATCACTGGTCTTTCCATCAGGCGACGACCGAATTTTTTTCTCAAGGTACTTCACAGTACAAAAAAGACGGAGGCCTTCGCCCTATCCTCGACCTGCGAGATCTCAATTATCACATTTTCCAGCACCGCTTCCACATGGTAACCTTAGAACTCATCCTATCACTCCTTCAGCAAGGTGACTGGTTCGCCGTAATAGACCTAACAGATGCTTATTTTCACATCAATATTTGTCATGATCACAGAAAATTTCACAGATTCTCACTAGGAAATACCATTTACAAATTCAAAGCCCTCCCATTCAGACTTTCTACCGCTCCTAGTGTTTTCACAAAGTGCATGGCTACCGTGGCAGCCTATCTTAGCACATGAGGGATTTCCATCTTCCCTTACATAGACGACTGGTTACTCATAGACCCCTCCCATCTTCAAGCTCTGCACAACATAGACTTTACTCTTTCCCTCCTAGAGAATCTGGGCCTAAAGGTCAATCGAACCAAATCTACACTCATTCCTTCACAATGGATGAACTACATCAGGGCAATTCTAAATTCTCGATCAGTGAGAGCCTTTCTTCCCCAAGAACGGGCTATGAAACTGTACAATGTGATTCAGCAATTTCGTCCCCACGCTTTGGTCACCACACACCATGCCCAACTACTACTCGGACTCATGGCATCGACAACATCAGTGATTCAGTACACATACCTCAAAATGTGCTCTTTGCAGGTGTGGTATCTCTCCCTCTTCAACCGAATATCAGACTTTCCCACGATGTTACTGAGAGTAACTAGCAGCCCAGCTAGAATGGTGGAGCACACCACACAATCTCTTCATTGGCAGACCTTTCACATCACTTCAACTCACCATGCAAATAACCACGGATGCAAACCCAACAGGTTGGAGAGCTCATTGCATCGGTGTCCACATTCACGCCCTCAGGTCTCCCTCAGAAAAGCACCTGCATATAAACAACCTAGAACTGCTAGCCATTTTCAAGGCTCTTTGTGACTTCGAACCACTCATCACTAGCCATTTTCAAGGCTCTTTGTGCCTTCGAACCACTCACTGGTACTGCCATTCAGATAACAACAGACAACACCACAGCTCTTTTCTATATCAACAAACAGGATGGCACTCATTCTCTACTGCTATTCTACCTCACAGTGCAAATCTGAGAATGGTGTCTCAAACGCCATATATTCCTAATAGCAATCCATATCTCTACAAGCTAAAACCAACTGGCAGATGCCTTGATGAGACGCACCAACCAAGTGCACGAGTGATCCCTCGACATCATCTTCCATCAACTCACTGATCTCTGGGGTCACCCTCAGATAGACATCTTCGCATTGACAGAAAATGCAAAATGTCCTCTTTATTATTCCAGAGCAGGAATCAGTCACAGCTCCCTAGGCAATGCTCTCATGACATCGTGGACACCAGGCCTAATTTATCTCTTCCCTCCTATTCCCCTTCTCCTTAGCATTATTGTCAAATTGCATCAGGAACAGGCCAATGTGATCCTCATCGCCCCATGGTGGCCCAGACAACCATGGTTCACCTTGCTCCGCTCAATCTCAACAGACTTCATCCGTCTCCCTCTCATACCTCATCTACTCAACCAGAACCAAGGTCGAACCTTTCACCCCGACCTTCACACTCTCCATCTTACAGCATGAAGGATTCGCCCACTGTACAGCCCACTATAGCTTCTCTCCTAGCAAGTGCCAGGAAACCTGCGGCCACTCAATTATATTCATATAAGTGGTCCACCTTTCTTAAGTTTGCAACTCAATGTCATCTTCCTATGCCTATGACTCTCCCTGACGTCCTACAATTCCTGACTAATCTCTTTAACAGAAAGCTTTCTCGTTCTACTCTCAAGGTCTATCTGCCATAGTAGCCCATCAACCATGAGACTCAGATGCTGCTGCGCTCTTTCGCCATCCCACCGTAAAGCAATTTCTTAGGGGAGTCTCCAACATGCAACCCACTAGACCCCACCTCCCTCTGCAGTGGTCCTTGCATACCATCCCCCAATGCCTTACACTACCACCATTTGAGCCTATGGCCATGACTTCTGACCACCTTCTTACACTTAAGACCCTCTTCCTCGTTGCCATCACCTCTGCTCACAGAGCCTCAGAAATCGCTGCTCTTCACATTGACCCTCCCTTCCTTCAATTTCACCTGGATACAGTCACTCTTTACCCTGATGTGTCTTTCCTCCCTAAGGTGGGTTTGGATTTCCACCTTTGTCAACCCATTATCTTGACTACATTTTTGCCATCACTTACCTCTGATCTAGAACACGCTCTCCACTTTCTGGATATTAGGAGAGCACTGGCTTTTTATGTCTCCAGATCTGCGTCTTTCCGCAAATCCAAGAGACTGTTTGTTTCTACACACTTACCGCATAGATGTTCTCTTGTTTCCACCCAAACTAACTCTAAATGGATAGTGGCAACTATATGCCTTGCATATCAAATGGGAAACAAGCCTCTTCCTGCTGGAATTAAGACTCATTCTACATGGGGTATTTCTCTCCCCGATATCTGGAGAGGTGCCACGTGGTCCATACCATCCACCTTTGCCTTGCATTACCATTTGGCTCTATGGGCAAAGTCAGACGCTACATTTGGACGAGCAGTTTTGTCAGCTGTTCTTCTGTGATGTCCCTCCTCTGGACAGGTAAACTTGCTAATCACCCATTAGTGTGCATTCACAGAGACCATGAAGAAGAAAGAGAGGTTACTTACTGTAACTTTGGTTCTTCGAGTGGTCATCTGTGAATTCACACTTCCTGCCCATCCTCCCCTCTGTCTGTCATGGCAAAATTTTTATACAGTGGCAGACTTTGTGGGAACTGAGGCACTTGCCAGGATGGGTGGACCACGTGTAGTAGTCCTAGCGAACAGTGTTAAGCTCTAGAAGATTCCGGAAAACTCTGTGCAGGCACAGATAAAACCCATTAGTGTGAATTCACAGATGACCACTCGAAGAACCAGAGTTATAGTAAGTAAACTCTCTTTCACCCGCACTCGAAGAACCAGAGTTACAGTAAGTAAACTCTCTTTCACCCATGCACTTTTACAATTTGCAAATAATTCTCACTACTCATTAAGGTGCCTGGAATGTTTTTCAGAGGTCACACAAAAATGGCACAGAAACAATGTGGAGATAAGAGGGCTGGCCTGCCTCCTGCTGTTTTGAAAGTTCCCAGTCCCATAATTTGGCTTGGGAAGTTCCTGTGAAATTGTAGGACTGGGAGTTCTTTTTTCCCCCTGAAAGTCTCTTCCCTGCTGCTTAAGATACCAGATACTGCCTCAAATAAATACTTCTCAGCAGAAATGAGACATAGTGTAGCCTACAGGAGGAAAAAAAAACAGGCAAAGGACCATTCTTGGTTCTGGAAGCCTCTAAAGTGATTCTCCTTTGACACAAGGTGCAACCGCTGCCCTGGTGCCTTCTTTCAAGGGGAGTGGGGGAAGAGTTTTACAAAAACAAGGAATGGCGTTCCAGTCACTTTCATTTTGGGAGGCTGGTATGGTCCATGTGAGTCCAGGAAGTTGAATATTGGACACTATGGCTTGGACACCACTGGTTTACATGACAGATGAAGAACTATTATTCATGTTTCAGGGATGGGAGCTTACTTGGATTCTCTTAGTAGGATCAGATTATTATAACCGAATACATCAAGCAGCAGAGTAATAAAGCTTTTGTTTTGTCCCCAGATAAAGGAACTCAATGAAATACCTAGAGAACGGAATGCATAACTGCTGTAAGAAGGGAACCATGAACATGGTTAAACCACAAATCCTGATGGAAGAAGAACCATATAGATTCTTCATTTTTATACATCCCTATACTTTAGTAAGAGGATTGCTTTAAATATTGAGTTGAGACTGGCATGTATTGCATTTGGATGACTGTGAAGTGTTTTTTTTTTAATTTTATTTTAAGGAACTAGTTTGGGCTGATCAGTGTCATTCCTCTGTCACAGTTAGTGTTTTAACATTAGGGATGCCTTACTGTTGGATATGTGCTTAGAGACTGTAATATAGACGTTTCGAATGTGTCCACAAAGTTGCTACATGTTTTCACAAGGAATGTGGCCTGTATTTTTTAATGTTTGTAAATATTTTTCTTCAAATTTGCTGCAATTTTTTTTACGAGTAATGAATTTAATAAATTCTGAAATAAATCCTTATGCCAGTTTTTTTGTGGTATTAATGTGAGAAATTCTATAATTCCATGAGATGCTTCCAAATTATTCATCCCCTCTCTCCTCAGATCAAGAAAAAGACTTGCATTATTTTACAGATCTCATTAATGTCAATAGAAAGGGTGGGAAATTGGATAGGTCTAGAGGCAGAAATATTAACAACCTCAGATATACAGATGGTACCACTCTGATAGCAGAAAGTGAGGTAGAATTAAATAACCTCTTAATGAGGATGAAAGAGGAGAGTGCAAAAATGGTCTAAAGCTCAACATCAAAAAAAAACTAAGATCATGGCTGTAACAGCCACCTTATACCTCACAAAGGGGCCATTACGTCCACTGCCACCAACCATTCCCTCAAATAAAGCTTCAGGCCAAAGTATGATTTCAAAATAAAAACTTAGGTTTATTGTATACAAACAAAAGGAATCGTAAATCACTTGAATATAAATAATACTTTAATCACTATAATAATATAACAATCACACACACTCTCTCACAGACCCTCACTATGTAGCACAGTTCTTATCTCTCAGTATCTCCAAGCCCTATCTCCCTATCTTAACCCTATCTGAATCACTCACACCATTCACTCCCCTTATATAAAACAGCTCCACCCCTTATGTCCCACCCTCTATCAAGCCATTGGCAGATGACACACAGCTTCAGCAGTGACGGGCAGGTGTTGTCATAGCTGCATGTAACAATACCTCCCCCCTTTAAAAGTTGTTTTGTGGGGGAAAGCTAAGGTGCTTTTCACCCAAAACAACTGGAAACAAAATCAAACATTACATTTTCCCCACATTTCAACACTTACCATTAACATATTAGGCACATTCTTACATAACTATATTATTCAAAATATACTTACACTTAAATAATTAATTGCATACATATATACATAACAATATACCAATAACCACAAATTTTCATAATTTATTAAACACAGT